TGGGTTTGTATAAGATTTGTCCACAGAGGGGAAGTGGGCAGACGTTTCCAGGGGGCTCCTTGGCCATGCTCCAGTCTCAGGAAAGTGGATACCCCTGGCCATGTGCTCTATGATAGTATACTAGGGGTGGGATGAGGTGACAGGCTTGTTTGGTATCCCTGGTCATCTACCTTGCTTCCTCTGACTTAAGGTGAGCATCTGAAGAGTCGGAGTGTCTCCATAGCTCCCCTCCCTTCCTAACCAAACAACAATAAAGCATACTCTGCAAACAGTCCTTGTCCCGTTGTTCCTGGTTGATAGAAATAGATAGTTGGTCGATGGGTAGCATCATCGTGGATGGCAAACACAAGGAAACTGCTATAGAAATGCGTTTGGGCCTCATGGGATCTGCCTTCCAAGAGTGTAAGGCCTCCTCTTTCCCATCCCAAGGCAACAGTGCTTGTGTGGCGATCTTCAACAGGAATCCTGCCCTCAAATTCTTTCTGAGTACTTGAGACTTTAGAGCATTAGCTTTCCCAAAGATAATTCTGAATGAGGGGGAAAAAGACATAAACACAGAATAAACATGTGTTTGAAGATTCTCTTAGCTTGGAAAACAAAGATAGATGAATGATTTAAACAGTGTTTGCAAGGGCCACGTTTTGCCTAGGAAAGATGAAGTCTTTGATGATAGCCAACTTAGTGTCAATAAGTGGCTTTCTTTGAGACATATTCAGATGCGAACGTCTTGCTTGCCAATTGCCATAGAAATCTTAACACACCATGAAGATTGTCCAAGCGCCAAGCCTTCCGTTCTGGACTAAATTACTTTGAAGTGGCGCAGGACGAGCAGTGGTCAATTTTAACTCTATAGACCGGACAGAGAACGCTGGGAGTGGGAGATTGTGCGTTCTAAAGCAGAAAATAAGAAGGGGAAACTTGTTTTATACACTCTATACAAGGTTTTGCTCATTGTCAGATATCTTTTATATTTCCCATGAATGATTCATGTCTTGGGGGCTTTGTGTCACCCTTCTTTTCACTAGAAACTTCATTACAGAGCGATAAGTTCTCCCATTGATTGGGGTCCTCATTTATGAGTGCTTTTCTTCTTTGTGTGTTAGTCATTGTCATCTGGCTTAAAACAACTCTTTGCAACCTGTTTCACCTTTACTGCATTTAACAAACCTTTTAAACACCACTATAACCTTTTGGAGAAACCCTTATTGACATTACTTCCAATTGTTTAACTATTTGCCTTTTGTCAGTTTTGTATCAGCTAAAATAAAAACAAGCAAATGCCCAGCCTTGTCGGTGTGGCTAGCCAAGGTCCTTTAAGCCACTTTTTTGTTGCCATGAATTTGGATTTCTCCGGACCTGCCCCCAAGTCCCGAGTGGTGATTTTCCCCAAATCATCAACTGAATTTTTGTCCCCACCCCACTTTATCGAAGGCATTTGATGCTCACTCAACTTCATTCAGGATGATTGACTCAATACTTAGCTTCACAGGTTTTGCTTTCTTCTTTGTCTGGGAGCCTCAGGAGGGTTATCTTGCCTCACTTTCTTTGGCCAAAGAAATGCTAAAATTCACTTTTTGTCTTTTCATGGATTCAGTCATTCAAGATAGTACTTTTAACTCAGCTCTCTTTAACAAATGCATGCAGGAAAGCTTAAAACTTAGGCTAGCCTATTGCAACCCGCAGGGATTTGTCTTCATAGATGGATTATATTTTCTAAATTATAAGTCACATTGTAAAAATACTTTATTGCTTGGGACAATCTAAGAAAGCAAGAGAGCAAGGAGATTCTAAATGTTAAGGGCAACCTGTACTCTTTGTAAGAAAGTGGCAGATGAGCCATTATGTAAAACATAAGCAATACATAGGAAGAATACCTTTATTAAATTACTTCATAATCATTCTTGCTTTTCTTCTATTGGAGGTACACATTTTAAAGTTTTAATTTTAGGTGTATCAGGAACCAATAAATCTGTGGCAGTCATCCTATCCATGGTGAAATACATAAAATACATATTCCTTTGTTCCATAATAAATAAACATGTAGCATAATTAGGTATAGTGCAAACTACCATTGAAAAAGTTGTATAAATAAAACAACTCATTATAAATCAGGAATATTTTGTTCTAAGTTTACAATACATAAATTATTCCCCTGCCCCACAAAGTTCATACCTTCTTATTTTGTCTATTTGAAAGGGCTTTGAAAGTGATTATGAAAATCAAAATAAACTTTTAAAATGTAGAATTATCTTATATTCAAGTTTTATGGTCTCCTTTATAAAAGAGGGTCTGCATGTTTTGTGTTTACCATAGCAATCTGAAGATGACATTTAAAGGCTTTCAAAGTGACAGCACCATGCACTAGTCAGAACTATAAACTATATATAATCTCATCAACACAATGCAAAACGGACATGCAGGAAGAGTCTTGGTTTTCACATTACGTTGTTCATTCAAGTAAACTTAGAATGATTATTTCCCATTTTCTTTCCTTTTTAAAAATACCATGGATCATAAGTGACAATCTTTTCACCAAAATGTATACTTCTTTGGTGCATTTTGAACTCTTCCAGTAGGGTGGTGGTCTGAAAATAAATTAATTCAACTGTACAAATAGTGCTCACATACAAGTTATTAACAATGACAAGACTACATCAACCACTCACAGCACACACATTTTTACAAACCCTGAGGAGGAGGTATCTTCAGGGTCTCTGAGGCTATATCAGTGCTCTCTAGTGTATTTGTCCGATGTTTGTGATGGACCAGTTTGCACATGAGATGTGTTGTACCAACCAAAACTTGACTAAGAGTTATTGTCCTGGGTCCTTGACCTTTTTTCTCCCAGCTTGACAGCTCTGGCAAAGGTCACACATTCATCAGTGTGTGGTGGTAACTATAAACCTTTTAAAAATTTTTAATGTGTATAGGAATTCCCTCTCCTCTTCTAATGTAAATCATACACTTCACACATTGTCATTTTTAAATGGAAGAGTTGGGAATGCTGAGTGCTTAGGTGGAGACTGGAATGAAAATGGAGTTTCAGGCAAGGACAAGTAGGAACTTTTAAAAAGGTTGATACGTCAGCATTAAAGAGTTGACTGGTTGTTAAAACAGCTTTAAAATAAATAAATAAATAGGCACTATGCCAACATCACACCTCCTCAAACTTAACTGTAATTTTGGCATCCCAAAGAATTTATCATCTAAAACATCATCTCTTTATTATACAAGAAGTTTGAACACAATAAAGAGGCAGCGTCTGAAATTTCAGTTTGATTTTTAGAAGAGGAAATCCCCCCAAAAAGTCATAGAAAGTAAAGAAAGCACTTGAATGTTTTCTATTTTTATAAAATATCACAGTTTCACAGTTATGTCTATTGCAGCAGCTTTTTTCCTCTCCACTTTTTACTTGATCACAGTAGCACAATATATGGGAACTATATTAAGGTTGCTGCATATTTTTGATTTTGTTTTTAATCATACAAGTAGGGTACTGAAGAGATAATCCTGTATAAAAATACTGTTACGGTGAGAGAAGTGGTAAGAGTAGAAATGAAAAATCACAAACATCAGAACTTATAGGGTTTTTACAAATAGGTTTGGACATAGGTACAGTCCAAGATCTGTTGGCAATGCAGCAAGTGTGTGGTTTACAATCAAGAGGCCTCCACTGAGGAAGCTCAAAAACAGCTCATATTATTGTGTCAAAGGCATTTCAGAGGCACTCCAGGAAATGCAGAGGGCCTTAAAGAGTCTGATCTAATCTTTTCTGTTCTCCTTGAAAAAAGAAAAAAACCAAAAACAATATATTGTATATCGGCAGTTTACATCTTAACTCATCTCTCCATTCATTTTCCTTGGTACATTTTGCCCTCAGCTCTGTCCCCCTGTGATGTCCTACAAGTCCAGCTTGGTTGGATATTTTTTGTTTTGTTTTTTTATAGAAAAAAAAGTCCATCTTAGTTGGATATTTTTGTTTTTTATGAAAGAAAAAAAAAAAGTCCAAATAGCTTAATTAAATTAATTAAATGTACAAACACCATAGGGTTTCATATTGAATAAATAGGGCTAATTAGAACTGGTGGCAATTCTGAGTCATGGGTTTGTCACAGGCTTGGCATTGTCTTAGGCCAGGATATAGTCAAGGACTGCCACTTCGTATTTTGCTTATAATCATTAATAAATTCTTAATGTATAGTCCGTACAACTTCAGAGTTCTGATACATTTCCTCATCTTCAGACTCAGAGGTCGTTCCGTTGCTGGAAGGTGTGTGAAGGTGGCTGGGGGCCCCACTGGCCTGGCAAACATACCACTCGTTGAGGTTAGTGACCTGAGGGGAGAGTGTGCTAGAGCGACTCCTGGTTGGTTCCAGCACAGGAGACAAGGGGGCGCCCACTGATGAGTAACCAAGAGTTCCTGGAGAAGGTGGTGGAGACTTGCAGTGAATCTTCATGTGCTTCCTCAGGGAGCTCGGGTGAGTGTAGGATTTGTCACAGCCTCGAATCTTGCAATAGTAGGGTTTGTCACTTGTGTGGACATGCGAATGTTTCTTGCGGTCACTACTGTTGGCAAACTTCCTGTCGCAGCCATCAAACTCACACTTGAAAGGCTTTTCCCCTGAAACGAAACACAGATAAGGTTAACAATTCTTTTTCCAGAACTCTCTTGCTTGACAGGGGAATCTTGGGTGCATTTCCCCAGCTCCCACCTGAATGCCTATGTTACAAGATGAAATGGGGAATGCAGGGGTGAAGCTGGTGTCCACCAGCCCAGAGGCTCTCCTCAGACCTGTAGATCATAACAGTGACAGCTATGCAGGACCACAGGGGGCAGGGGAGGACCAGCTAACTCAAGGTCCAGGATGTAACACAGTACACCTAGGACCCAGTGAGCCACCTTTGATTCCCTTAAAGGGCTTATCCACACCAAATATAAACAGAAGGCCTCCTCCAGTGAGACAAACACACATAAAACGCTATTTCCAAAGTCATGGCACGGGGAGAACCTCTAAATTAAAAAGAAAAATGAACATATACACTGGAAGTAAATGAAAGGTTCAGTAAAATATAGGGAGAAAATGGCATTTGGTTTTTAAGTGTTCCCCAGGATTTCAGTGATGGAACAGGGACGAAGAACAGTTGGGGAAGGAAAGGAAATACAGTAGTAACAAATCCTTTTCAGAAACAAGGCACCTGTATGACACAATCCCACCACCAGATTTTACAAACAGGTCCCAGAATAGGCTATTGGCCTCTGTGCTCTACCATCTTAGCTCACAATTTGCAGTGGGATTAAGAACAAAGCAGACTAGAATTTTAACACACATTAAAAACAACTGTAAGCCCCAGCCAGAACCTACCATTTACCTGATGCCACGGTAAGCTTATTCTACAGCTTTGTATATTAATAGTCAAAGATGGACTACTTAACACTCCTGACCTATGATATATGCCCTAACTACACCAGTAATACGGTACCTTTAAACCCAAGGGGATTTGTTCCAGGAACTATAAATGCTTAATAGGATAATGATAAATTCAGCTATATTACATCTTGGTGTTAAAGAGCAAATCAGGAAAACAGGTAACTGAATTCTCTCTCACCGTTCTTGATATAATTGAGTCCATAACTATACACAAGCCATCTCAAGCATATTGTTGTCAAGTAGTATTTTGAAGATTTAAAAAGGCATATTGTCTGCATGTCAGAAGTTACTTTGGTGATCCCCGAAGTATGACCCTTTTCGTCATTTTGGATAATCGACTGCTTAAAAAAATAAAACTCTTAAGGCTCAGTGTACATAAACTTCTATGACCCATTTCCATTCCTGTTTCAGTGCTTTTTTACAATTTTGTTAACATTTCACTAACAGCTGTTCCAGTTATGTAGGCCCATTGAAAATATTCAGTAATGCCCAGAATGTACCTTCCCCTAGTTAGAAATGTTTTAAAGTGAAAGTAGACATTACTCAAATGTATTCTATTATTCTCCTACATGAACTATAAAGTGGGGGGGGGGGAGGCACAGCAATCCCAATCATGATCACAAAACTCCAAAAATTCTGTGAGTAAGAGGCAACAAATTATCTTATTAAAATAAATTATTCCTAGATTTCTGTGCTCCTCTTAACACTATGTAAACACAGTATTATTTCAAACAATACACCCCCAAAATGCTAATGACCATTTTCATGGAAATGTGGTGCTTAACTTATTTACATGATGCAAATGTGTCATGCTATTTGGGGGGGAGGCACTGTGTTTCTGAACAACCTATATAACCTGGATTGTGAATGATAAACATTACTGGCTCCTCCACTGCACGTGATGAAAGGAAGCCATGAGACTCAGGAAAGGGAGACATGGAGAGGAAAGAAAAAGGAGAAAATCTGGGATCATGAGGAAGAAGGGGGAGGAAAAAAGGAAGGACTATATAATTTCCCATGTTATATTCAAGGAGCGAACAGCAGAGAGCAAACTCCCAAACGAGAAGGGTCGCAGACCCTGAGGTTTCCCATCCAGGTTCTGACATGGGGTTCAGACAGAATTTAACTCTTCCAGAGTTTGAAAAGCCGTGCTGCCAGTAACCAAGTAATAAAAGGTTTCTGCGGGCAGCTTCTAGGTCTGACCAGTTCTTTTTCTGAACGAACTTGAATTAGGCCCTGAGGAATGCTACAAACATTGGGTTAGACACATGGTTCAGGAAATGGGCCCTCGAGAGTGGCTAGTGGATTATTCTTGGACCAATTTGTTTCGAGATCCTTGATAATCCCCAAACAGCTCTCAAAGGGGAAAGCGGTATGGGAAGGAGAGTTAAAAAGTCCAGGGCTGTTTCTCTTTGAACAGAGCCCAGAGACCTAGATCCACTCTGAGTTTGGATGTGAACCGGATTTCTTCACCAGCAGGGCCCAGAGCGGCGGGAACCAGAAAACAAAACCGCCATGGGTGTCTCATCTCCCTGCCCACGTGAGGATGGAGGGCGGTAGCAGCGGACTCCATCATCTCCCCATCCCAACATCACACACACCCCCGCACCCCTCCCCCACCCCCACCCCGGGCTGGGCTCGTGCCGGGGCAGGTGCCGGAAGGTTAAGATTCGGGTTAGCTTCCACACCATAAATTCCCAATTCTTTGTCTTACGGGAGCGGAAACTGCCCTCGGCAGCTGCTCAGAAGATTCACTTCTCCCGAGGCCTCTCTAGGCCTCAAGGGCCCGAAGCCGCGGACCCAGCATTGAGGTTTCCTTTTGGGGCCTGGGTTGGGGAAAGCTTCCCCAAGGGTGTCCCGTGGGCTGGCCTTTGCCCCAAGGCTAAGTGCTGGTCTCAGGGGCTAGGACCCAGCTTAGCAGGCCAGAGATTTCACTAGAGCCTCTGGGGAAATTCCTTTCGGAAAAATCATTAAGGCAGACAGATCCAAATTGGGGGGTGGGGAGACATCCACCAACAAACCAAGGTCCTTGCAACAAATAAGCTCGCAGCCAGTCCTCTGCGGCAGTGCCGTCTAGGGCGGGCCTGCAGGAGCCAGCCGTGGAAGCCTTCGCCACGCACCGCCTGGTGAGTTGAGCGGCTCCGGCGGCCCAAGGCCTGGCCGGCGCAGCCTGCACATCAACCGAGTCCTCTGCACCCTGGCCGCTGGTCGGCCGCGGGGCCCACGCCTGGTGGCTGCCTCCTCCTCAAGGCAGCGCCGATAAATCACCCGAGTAATTACGGAACGTAAACTCCAGTTACTTAAGTGTCCTCGGAGGAGTAATATTGTCTGTCCCTATAAATCCCGGATGGCGCTCGTGCTCATCAGCGCCTCCACACAGCTCACTCCCGTGCCAAGAGGTCACACCACCAACAGAAGCGACCTCACCACACACCGCATCCTCCCTCCCTCGTGGTCGTAACACCAGCCCCTCAAAGATGGAGTTTGGCGGGGGGGTGGGGTGGGGGATGGATTTCCTCAGCGCCAGTGACTTTCCCTCCAGGAAGAAACGCGCGGGTTACCAGGTTTCTTCGAAACCAGAACCTTATTTGAAGGGGCAAAGCCAGCTCACTTCTCCAGAACACTTTAGCGGCCGTGTGCGTGGGCATAGGGTGTGTAAATGAGGACGTGTGAAAACGTAGATGGGTAAATGGGAAGTCAGGCGGAAGTCCAGCGAATGGGCCGGGGCCGTCTGCGGGACAAGAAGGGTGTGCAGTTATTTGGGTGGGCTGTGTGCCTCTGCGCGTGTGTGCTGTATGGGGGCATCTCCTAGGGCCCAGTTCGTGCCTTGTGCACCCTATCCCAGAAGGGCGGGACCCCCGCTTCTCTAGGAGGGGCCGACTAAGCTTAGCCTGGAGGCCCCATTGCGGGCAGCAAGTCCCCAGGAGCCCCTCCCACGCCCGCTCTAGGGAGCGAGGCGAATGATGGAGATGTGACCGAAGGGAGGGGGGCCGTCGGGCGGCTCCGGCTCCCGGGCCCCGCCGTCCTCCCAAGTTCCTGAGGCTGGCTGGGTGGGGGTGGCCGACCATCCCGGGCACCTTCCTGTTCTCGCTGCGGTTGCTGCTCCCGGGCGGCGGCGGCGGCGGCTGGAGCGCGTAGCCGGTCCCGGTGGAGGGGCTGCGGGCGCGCTGGAGACTCCGCCGTGTGCGAACCCAGCGCGGGGCCTGTGTGTGCTATCGAATTACTTATTCATAGAAAAAAAAGAGGGGGGAGAGAAAAAAAAGAAGTCACATGTCCGGGTTATACGTATGCGAAGAGAAGCAGCAGAAGGAGGGAAACAGGAAGGCGAGCAAAAGGAGTGTGAGAAGCAGCGGCACAAGCTGTGGTGGCGCAGGCAGCGGCGGCAGCGGCGCGGACGGGGACAGACACCCACCTGTATGAGTGCGCTTGTGGATCTTGAGGTTCTCGGAGCGCGCGAAGACCTTGCCGCAGCCTGGGAAGGGGCAAGGGAAAGGCTTCTCGCCCGTGTGGACCCGGATGTGGTTGATGAGCTTGTATTTGGCCTTGAAGGGTTTGCCCTCGCGCGGACAGTCCTCCCAGAAGCAGACGTGGCTGCTCTGCTCCGGGCCGCCCACGTGCTCCACCGTGACGTGGTTCACCAGCTCGTGCATGGTGCTGAAAGTTTTGGAGCAGGGCTGGGCGCCGCCGGCCGGGGGCGGTGGCTGCGGCGGTCCGGCTAGCTCGTCGGGGTCGATCCACTTGCAGATGAGCTCCTGCTTGATTGGCTGCCGCATGTAGCGCAGGAAGGCCCCGGCTGCCCCTGGGAGGTGGGGGTGGTGCTGGTGCGGGTG